TCGTCTAATTAGCGAGGTTTTTTTGCCTTTTTGCACTTTTTTTGTGACTTTATTCTAGTAAAATATAAATGTTTGTTGCCCTCTAGTGATGCTTATAAATATTTCGATTTTCTTATTTGAAAACTATACTTAAATAAACAAACATGTCCCCTCTTTAACAGCTTAAGCTTTTAGATGAAATCGCAAAGGTCTTAGGTTCCAAAAGTCTCATGCGAAAATGTTAAACATTTGATAAAATATAAATCCAACCTGCACATGTACGGACGTGTTGAAGATTAAATTTAACTAATTAAATGTCTTCTATCTAGTATCCTAAGATTTCAGAAGAGATCATTCAACAAAGCCTCTTATAGAGATCAATTATCTATTGACATGATATCATTTTGTTCTTTTACCGTACTTTCTAGAGAAAAGGGGTCAATATCTGAAAAAGTTCCTAAGAACCCGAAGGGGACGTTCAGGCAGCATTGGGCAGATTTACCGAGTGGACTGCTGGGAATCAGTTTTGCATAGCCAAGGCGTTTGATCTCTTCAGGCCCAAAGAGAGTAAGAAGACATGGGCTAGAGATGTTTGGAGGTCATGCATAACTCCGAAACATTAGTTCATCTTGCGGTTAGGTGCCCAATCAAAGCTCCTAAACAAGGACAGGCTGCTGCACTCTGATATTGATAGAAATTGTGTCCTTTGCGGTTCACAGGAGGAAACAGTCCAGCATATATTCTTTCAGTGTTTATTTAGTTCCAGCATATATCACCTTTGGACAGCTAGAAACATGCTGATTTTTTGACTAAGAACGGAAGTTCTAGAATTTACCAGCGTAATCCCCAACAAAGAAAATTGTAAATCTCAAGAAACTAACCTAAAAAAAGGGAATTGTATTATTGAGAAAAACAAAGAGCCTTTAAATAGTCTCTGCAAACCCTAATTTAAACAAAAAGATCAAAATAGACATCCACTTAATTAAAACAATTAAAAGCGAAAAAATAAAAACTTCAATTGCCCGGTAGACTGCCTTAAACTGCAAATTTGAGGCTGAAAACAACGTCAACCGGGGTACCCGTTGGGACGATGTAGAGCATTGCAAGACATTTCCGAAATATATTATAATAGAAATTCTGACACTTGTGCAAAAAGTTATGTCCGTTTCTTCGAAACAGCTCGTTTTGACAATTTCTGATCCAATTCTTCTTCAAACTCTAACGCTAATTGTCCTACATCAGTCCTTCCTACCTGTGAAAAACTCGACCCCGATTTATAATCTGGATAAAGTGGAACATCATCACAAAAGTCATAGAGATCAGCTACATTGAAAGTGCAAGATATGATCATATCAGCAAGCAAGTCGATCACATAGGCATTGTCATTAATCTTCTTGATTACCTTGTATGGTCCATATTTTCTTGGCTTCAATTTGTTATAGGAACCAACAGGGAACCTCTCTTTACACAGAAACACCATAACCTAATCACTTTCAACAAACAATTTCTTACGTCTCTTGACATCCACGGCAGCCTTATACTTAGCATTCTTCTCCTCTAACCGTAATTTCACTTCTGTCTGAACATCACGAACCTGCTCATCCATGTTCTCAACAGCCATACTTGTTCCAGCAACCTTGGGAAGTCTTACCAAATTCAAAGCATGCTTAGGCGGCTGCAAATATACCAGAGCAAAGGGAGATTTACCAGTAGCAGTGTGAATTGCATTATTATAAGCGAACTCCGCTTGAGCCAGTGCCATATCCCACTGTTTTGGCTTGTCTCCACAAATACTCCGAAACAGATTTCCCAACGAACGGTTCAAGTTCTCAGTCTGGACGTCAATATGTGGGTGTACAGTGCTACTGAACTTGAGAGTAGTATCCATCCGTCGCCACAATGTACTCCAAAAATGGCTAAGGAATTTCGAATCCCTATCAGAAGTGATAGACTGCGGGACTCCATGTAAACGAACAATCTCAAGAAAGAATAATTGTGCCACATGAGATGCATCTGAAATCTTCCGGCACGGAATAAAATGTCCCATCTTAGAGAGCCTGTCAACCACCACAAAAATAAAATCGACTCCACGCTGAGTTCGTGGAAGTCCCAAAACAAAGTCCATCGACAAATCTTCCTATATGCCATTCGGTACATGCAGAGGGATGTAGAGACTCGTATTCTGCGCTTGCCTCTTAGAAGTCTGACACACAAAACACTCAAGCAATCCCATTTTCCATGAAAGGACGAAGCATATAGAGATTGATTGTCATTTGGTTAGAGACAAAGTCCAAGCCGGTGAAGTGAAAATGTTGTTTACATTGTCTCAGAATCAAATTGCTGATCTCCTAACAAAGACCATTGGTGGAACCAGATTCAAGTTGTTATTACACAAGATGGGAGTATTGAATATATACTCTTCATCTTGAGGGGGAGTGTCAAGCCCATTATAGATTAGCCAAGCCCATGTATAATTAGCCCATTTAGACAGAGGTTATTTCTGTCATTGTGGATTTCCTCCTTCATGCTTAAAGCGTGAGCTGTTCCTCAGCTCGTATATAAGTAGGCTGTAATTGATTTCATTTGGCAATTGAATTAGTTTAATCAATTGGATCTTATTCTCGCCTTTCTTTTCCTCTCTCTCAATTCTCTGCAACTTATCAAAATCCTAAATTCCTTCGAATAAGGAGCAGCTGGAGGATGTTTTCTTGTATGGAAAATACAGCATCCATGTGTTTGCGATATTTGAATCAATATGCCAATATGAACAGGGAAAATGATGATGATTTTGGAGGTGATAAAAAGGCACCAGAGAAGCATTCTCATGGTGAGGTTTCATTTGCCGTGGTCCAGGCAAATGAAGTCCTTGAAGATCACAGCCAGGTAGAGACCAGTTGACACGCCACCGTTGTTGGGGTTTTTGATGGCCATGGTAGTTCAGACACGTGGAGATTCATCCATGACTGAGATGACCTCTTACCTCGTCTAATTAGCGAGGTTTTTTTGCCTTTTTGCACTTTTTTTGTGACTTTATTCTAGTAAAATATAAATGTTTGTTGCCCTCTAGTGATGCTTATAAATATTTCGATTTTCTTATTTGAAAACTATACTTAAATAAACAAACATGTCCCCTCTTTAACAGCTTAAGCTTTTAGATGAAATCGCAAAGGTCTTAGGTTCCAAAAGTCTCATGCGAAAATGTTAAACATTTGATAAAATATAAATCCAACCTGCACATGTACGGACGTGTTGAAGATTAAATTTAACTAATTAAATGTCTTCTATCTAGTATCCTAAGATTTCAGAAGAGATCATTCAACAAAGCCTCTTATAGAGATCAATTATCTATTGACATGATATCATTTTGTTCTTTTACCGTACTTTCTAGAGAAAAGGGGTCAATATCTGAAAAAGTTCCTAAGAACCCGAAGGGGACGTTCAGGCAGCATTGGGCAGATTTACTGAGTGGACTGCTGGGAATCAGTTTTGCATAGCCAAGGCGTTTGATCTCTTCAGGCCCA